GAACACACAAGAAATTGGAATTGATTAACAATTAGCAATGTACTTGCGTAAACACACACTATCTGTCGAGTCGATAAAAATTGGTGTTGAGATAGCACGTTGCCGATGTTCGGTCGAAAATATCGAAGTGATTTTTCAACTCAACCGTACTCGTTTTTTTCTCGTCATCATCATCGTCATCGTCGTCGTTGAATTCTACTTAAAACTTATTGTCAATTGGATGTGCTCGCGCACGAGTGTTTATTTAATATCAAATATTTGGAGAAGACCAACGACGCGATCTCGCGCACTCATTTCCAAAATATGTTCGAGAGTATTTGATTTTTCTCGTAGAATTTTCTAAGAAATTTTCAAATATGCTGGGAGTCGAGGTTTTTATTTAGCAGAACACCGATGCCGCTAAGTAAATTCGAAGAATGGTCACATCACATCGATGCTCATTTCCAGAAAAGAGGCACTAATTATACAATCGTGCTGCATAATAAATATTTTTTTTCTTTCTGTCTTTCTTTCGAGCGAGAGATACTTTAATTTCACGAAGCCGAAAGGCAAACGGAGACACTTCGCCCTCCGGCCAAATACCGGACCAAGAGTTTTGTGTCGCCCTTTTGTTCAATAGAGACGACATTTGGTTTGTCGATATTGAAACACAGAGGAAAATACCTCATTGCACAACCGAACACCAATGATGACAACTTCGGTAAATAATAATTTACGAGAAAGAATCTGAAAATCTGTAAACAGCACATAAAAATAACTTGCATATTTTATTTTTTTCCGAGAGAGAGAGAGAGAGAGAGAGAGGGATAGAGTGAGCCTAGAAATGCCTCGCTTCGTGAACTCTATTCAGTGATTTGTCAGTGAAACGACGTATCGGAGAGAGGGACTTTGGAGGCGCCTTTCGATGCCTCCGAGCGGATGAACGTCGCGACGATCAATATTAACTGTTTCTGAGTACATCACAGCCTTTTTATGTAATACACTCGAGAATTTCATAGATCGTGTTTTGGTGATAAATCACACGATTGAATACACTCAAGCAAATCATTCATTTGGATAGTATTCGCCAAACAATTGACACGATCCGAACGATTGCATATCCAAACAAATGCATTTTTCCAAACAATGTTTACACATTTTTCATGCCTTTTATTAACATTTTTGACAGAATAAGCCAAATTTCAAACAAATCAACAACTTAATTGTTTTTCTCTTCATCGTTTTGACTTAAGAAGAATACTTCGAACAGCACCGTCAAATAGCCAAATATTTTTAAGTATTCAATCAATTGATAAATGAATGTTGCACGTCTTTTCCATCTTGATATTCCCAATTTTTTTGGAAATCTCAAGATTGATCTCTCCTCTCTCATCGTCATCATCATCAAAAGCGAATGAAATTTTTCGAATTTCATTTCAAGCAATAAACTGATTTGTTGTTGAAATTGATTCCATTTCGAGCATTTGCTACCATCAAATGAGTTGCATATTTAGAATGACATGACAAAAATGCGATTATCGAATTGTATACTGAATCCTCGCCGGTCCATATAGAAATCAATTTAAGTTTCCTCTCATCGCCCCTTTTTTGACGTTCCAATTGCTGATTGAATCGTCAAGAGGTAATTCTCAATATGCAGGTAAATTGAGATGCATAAGTCAAAATATTGAATTCATGCTATTTCATCGAAAAATTCCGTTGGATTCATATGGATTTCTATATCAAAAATGAAACGTACAACGAACAACCGTGCACGTATGGATTTTGTATGATAATTTATCCGCATCGACACTATTTGTTCGATTGGGTGACGGATATTGCGTTTCCTTCGAAGTGGAAAAGCGTGTGAGTGAGTCTGTATTGTTGGAATCCAAAGTGGTTTAAGCATAGTGTACAATCATATATTGACAAAATGAAAAATGCCGCTTTTTAAAATCGATATAGGAAAAATAGGTTACAGGGGGAAAAACCGAGAGCGCGTTTCAAAACGTCGTCGTTCGTCGAAAAGTGAATAATTTCGAAAATCGATTGTTGAAAAATGCAAAAAAAAAGGCCTTGATTTGTGTTTGGCATGGGGTATTTTGTTTCACACATGCATGCATTTTTTTAACAAGCTTAAATGCAACCAAACACCACATCTCCATGGTGAACCATATACCCATACATACACTGTGAGCGACCGAAGAGCACAAAATAAAGCGCTATGTGATTTGGCCTGACGATTGATTAACTTCAACAATTCACGGAAAGCGCCGCCGACAACGACGTTGGATTTTCCAATGTAACCATATCCGGGAGCGGAGGGTGTGAGTGGTTGCTACTTATGTGAAATAATGCAAGTGACCAGCATTATTGTGCAAATTCAAAGTCCACCACAAAGGAAAACCAAAACTTGGAATGACGGCAAAAAAAAACAATAAACGGTATGCGGTGGCCGATTGATATGAGAAGGAAAGGCTGCTAGAAATCGATACAGAACCGGCGTTCATAGGCTTTATAACGGTCGATACATGCATTCTGTTTGTTTCGTCATCATCATCATCATCATCGTCATCGCCGTTGTTCGGGGTAGATTAAATGTATGCACGCTGCTGAGACACACACGGCAGTGTATATTTTTAGTTGTTTTGTTTTTTTTTTATTTCAGTTTGGTCGCAAACAATAAACGATGAAATGCGATGAACGTCGCTGAACCGACGGATTTTCTACCGTTAAACAAAGGTCATTTGGACAGTGTGTTCCAATGGATAAAATCCGAAGTGAACGCGGGCGCACGAAGCTTTTCACTCCATATTGAAAACTATCGATAGCGAACATTCAACCATTTGCCATGTGATGATAAAGTGAACACACGCCGTCGGTATATCGAGTCGTTATGTCTCTCTATGGTGGCACTTTTTCTCATTCTCTCTCTCTCTCTCTCTGTTTATCTTGGTCTCTCAGGTGAACGACAACAGCGTCGAAAAAAAAAACCAACAACAACGTTGTAATTGGCAATTGCTGCTTGAATTTAAAGAATTCAATTACTTTATTGGGCCTGCGGGGCGATTTTAAAATACTGCAATCACTTCAGCATAGGGCATATAGGCATAGAGGGCATGTTATCGATGTTCCCATGCAATTATGATTTATTTGCTCGTCGTAGTCGTCGTCGACGTTGTTACTGTTGTTGTTTTTCCTATGTTTTTTTTTTCCATTCGATCCCACTGCATTCTGATGATGGGAGTGTGTGTGTGTTTGATATGCTATATGTGGTAACCTACTCGAAAAAATACGCTCTCTCTTACGCGTCACAAAACATTCATCTTCCAACAGCGTGAATATGTTGCGAACGTGTGCGCGCGCGAGCGCTCATAAGCTCATATACGCACACATCAGGCTTTAACATCAGTTTAATTTAATTATCGCACCACCGCAATAAAAAAAAGAGTGTGAACGAACATTGTTAGTACGTGGTTGGTGCTTATTGCTTATGCTCATTGCTTTAATTAGTAACTTTGTATGTCTGACTTTTAATTAAGTATGGGATTGTGCACGGGATAGATCGACCGACGGGCGAATCATCACCATTCGACAGAGATCCAAACGAAACGCTCGCGTGAGAGAGAGAGAGAGAGTGAGAAAAAGAGCAGACGACATATAAATAAACATTGGAAATGAAATGGATGTTTACTTAAACGAAACACTTCTATGCGAGATAATGATTTTATGTCTCATGAGAAAGTGCTGATCTGTTTATTTCCTACGAAAATTTCTCATTATTACTCATCATCATCGTCTAACGGGTGAGAGAGCGCGCACGCACCCGCGCCCAACAGTCGGTGGTTTCAAATTGCAAATCAGCGTGCACGTTCACACCAATAACACGCACAAACAGGATAACGCACCGAAAAAGAACTATTTTTTCTCGTCTGTCTCTCGCTTGTTCTTCTATGCTAAGTGAGAGTGGAATAGAGAGAGAGTGTGTATATGTTGCATTCACTTGGCTGATGGAATTCCGAATGCAAAGAAATATCACAAAACTCTTCAGATAATATACGGATGATAAGGTGTCGTTGGCCTTAATTTTTCTATGGAACGAGCGTCGGTTCTATGTTTTTTCGCTCTCTCGAGTTTCATATGTGGAATTTGTGTGTGCTGCGACAAAGGTCTCTTCTCAGCGAAATCAGTCGGAATGAGGTAGCCCGCTATGCTATGTGTATACACTGCCAATGCTTATAATGCCATCGTCATACATTCAAGCGGCCGACAGCGACAAATCATCAATTGCATATTACGTATTTGGGAGTCAAATGGCAGTGTTCCACATTTTATCGTATAATTTGCGCATTTCTCGTTACGAAACTATAACATTCCACTGTAATACCGAACTAGTAGTGAAGATAGATGTTTTAAATTTATGATCATGAGAGGAGAACAAATAATTTACAGGTCAATTATTGAGTGACACACTAAAACAAATTGTGTGTAAAAACACATGCGTTCGTGAGATACACACCACACGTCGTTTGTGTAGAACAATATCTAGCAAATAAATAATGGTAACAAATAACAAAACTACATCTATAATCAACACACCACACACCACCAGACACATTCATATTTCGTTCGCCTCATTTTCCCATCAATTCGATTTCAAGCTCTCCCCAGCTCACTTAAGGAATGTGGGAGAATTTTTGTTTTGTTGGAGCTTCAATGCTTCTGCCTTACTTGAAAATCGAACTGAAATGGAAAAAAAAATGTGGCTGATTTTTCTTTAATTTCCGCACAAACATAACAACACCGAGAATGGACCGGTTATTGCAAGTCCGGCACAGCAGCATACGGTGGTGTCGGCAGCGACGGTGGCGGTGGTAATGACAGCGATAAGACGAATCGAATCAATAGATTTCTTACACATTTTGATGCAATATGCTTCATTTTGCGTGTGTGTGTGTGTGTCTTCTTTTCTTTCGTTTTTTGCTTCAATAAATAAATTAAATTGAAAATTGAACACTTACATCGTATTTAATTGGCCTCATTGTACCCATTTGCTCTGTATGTAACGTCACATTCGGTTATTGTCCCATGTACACCAATGCCAATGAAGCTTGCACGAACAATATTCTCACTTATGTTTTGCATATGAAACTTTTTGTTTTCTTCTTTTCGTTTATCGATTTTTTTTTTCGAATCGTTTTCAACCACTTCACAGAGCAATCGATTGTTGTTTCTTGTTGTTGCTTTTTTTTTTCTTCAAGTTTTGGAAAAACTCTTTCGTGTGTTAAAATTTTCTTCTTTTTTACTTTCGTTTAAAAAAATTCTTCTTCTTCGTTTCAGTTTCAGTTTTTAATTCGATCGCACACATTCACATTTAATCCTCATTTTCACGTTATTTCCGATTTTCCACGCAATATTTTTCCGTTCACAATTATTTCCTCATCACGTTCACACAGAAAAGATCGTTTTTAACTTTGAAGAAACAGTTTAAATTTCTTTCCGTGCAAATTAGCACTAGTTCAGAATTCGAGGAAAGATTTACTAAACAAAACGTTCTTCGGATAGTCAGTTTTTAATGCAAACACACGATCTAAATGGCTTTTACGAGTTGTATTTTTTTTTACTGAGTGCAAGGATTCTCTCTCTTCAACGAAAAACGGTAACCGGTAACCGAACTCTCTTCAGATACTTTAAAAAGCCTTCCGGATGTGATTTCTATTTAAATATAATATTTTCTCGGATCACAATGATAATAAAAAAAAATCTGGGGAAAGAAGTTGTCGCTCGTTGAGTTTGAATTGTTGCCGATGCACCTGAGTCAACTGACTTAGCTGGAGGATCCTTGAATGATGAAATATGATTTCTTTTCATGAAAATAACTGCTTTTCTCAAACTGCACTGCAGAAAGGATGCATGAAACTCTTTTTTATATTTATTTTCATTTAACTGCCGAATATTCTGAGCGTCAAAATGAACTTTAAAAAAAGACGAAAAATTCACAGGTGATATTAACCTGGTTGATGAATTTACGTTGGAGCTTTATGCGGAACATTTGTATGATACCCTTAACAGGGTATCAATTTTGCTTAGTTTTAGACGAACCAACCGATTTTTTTTCTTGTCGCGATTCAAACTCATATTTCACTGGGGGGATGATTTTCGGCAGCGGCCGTGCATTTGGTCTGAATGTAACAGTTTAGAAAATTTTTGAAATATTGTTCGTTTTTTTTTTTCTTTGCAATTAATCAATTTGTCCAATGTCGGCAAACAAACAGAATTAAACGGTGTTTTTACTGTTCTAGAATATATCAACACTTTGGAAAATTTTCAATAGCACTTTGCGAATAAAATTTTCCGTTTTTTTTCTTCTTTTTTTCTATTAATTTTTTTTTTTATTTTTTCAAATATTTACATTGCAAAGATAAAGTGGCACTTTGTATTTAATATTTTCTTTTCTTCTTTTCGTGTGTGTGTGTGTGTTTTTTTATTCGCCCCTGTTGTTTAAATATCAACACATTTTGTACTGAGCACTGTGGACACGGCTCTCTAAAATACGTATTTTCATCTCCAATGCGCTTGATATTCACCGCCAACTGCCGCCGTTAACGGACGATGTTAACAGCACAAGAAGTGATACGATACTAAAATCTACAATTTTACTACACGACGAATAAGCAAAATCGTACCGCCACACACACCATTATTTCTATAGGCGACCCCAGATCGACAGCAACTACGCTACGATGTTGTGTGGAGTATCTTTAGTGCTGCGGATGGTTTGCGTTCGCCGGTCAATCGGTTGTGCGCTGCGTTTTTCAAGGGGATTTGTGGCTGAATCATTTTCAAATATGTGACGCAAGCAATTTACAACGAGTTTTCCGCAATTTTGGCCAATTTCAGCGGTGTTTTGGGGAAAATTGTAAAAATTCTTTCGGATTAAAGGTGTATGTGCCACTGTTACACATGAACGCAAAATGATAAAGAATACGTTAGTTTACAACGGCAGCGGCGGCAACAACAACGCGAATGAAAGAGATGGAATGAGTAAGTGAGCGAGATAGAGATAACAAAATATATCAATAGATACCTACAAAAGAGCTACGTAAAGGCGATATATAGTGGAATCAGAGGAGAGAAAAAAAAATAACAGAGAGCCGTATGTCAGCGAAGAAAGAAAAAGAGAGTTGAAAAGGCGGCGGCAGCAGCAGCAACAGCGACAAACATACACAATTTGTAGAACGGAAGAGACAAAAAAATAAAAGAGTGCAGAGAGAAAGCGAATAAAAAAAACAAAACAACAACACGTACACACAACGTACTCGGTGAGAGAGCGAGAAAGAGAGCAAATGTTCATCTTTCTTCTCTCTATACATACGAGACTCTCTCGCGCGCGCCACTACAAACCGACTTGACTGAGAGTGTGATAGAGAGAGAGAGAGAAAGAGAGAGAGGGAGAGAGGGAGAGAGAGAGAGACACTGATACCAAAGGCGAATAGAGTTTGTTGCCTGAAATATATTATATGTTTTGGATTCCTGTGTGCTGTTTGTCATTTTAGCTCGGGCTATAATGAATGTTAGCTGTTGGTTCGGCTTAAACCGTATTCTCAACTCTCTCTCTCTCTCACTCATTCAATCGTACTCGCACTCGTACTCTTTATCTCACTAGCAGTCGAGTCCCCGTGTGTACGGGTTTGTTGTGCCTTGTGTGCTGTATGCACAGTGCACACGCACACATTAAGTCCATTTAGAGAGAGCGAGAAAAATCACTGAGAACAAAAAAATTATTACAAAACAAAAAGAGCGGTCCTATTTTTCGCTTCTGCCGTGTGTATGTGTTTTTTTTTTACTCTCTCGCTCGTCATCCTCGTCGTGTGGTGAAATACGCTCGATTGTTTTAAATCATATCCATTTTTGTTCCGTTTGTTCTGTTGACATGTTGAAATGGAAATGTAGAAGGCAACTACCACAATGGCCATAAACTCCACAAGTTTTACACACCACATTTGACGACATTCGATGCGATATATGTTAATTCCACACACACACACACACATTTCGAGGTAGAAAACAATTTTCAAACATGCAATCCATTGCGCTATCCGTACACACATGACAGAGTTTCCTGTGCTATTTTGCCTGTTACTGCTGTCGCCGCCAATGCTGCTGCTGCTCCATCCGCGTCGTGTGATTTTTATTTTCGTTCCTCGTATTATCTCACAAACCGTTCTATCTGTCGTTTATGTCTTTTATTTGTGTAAAATATGTGTGCTGCATATTCTCTGCTATAAATAATGGAAGGGATACACCCCGTTTTTTTCTTCGGTTTTTTTTTTTTTTCAAATGAGAGCGAAGTTGAAGAAAGAATGTTGCAAAAAAAAAACACAAAAAACCGGTAACTACCCATTGTCGCGGTTTTCAAAGTGTCCGACAAAACGGATCGAACGAGCAGGCTCCAACTTTTCGACCAGGCTCCAACCAGAAATAACCAACGAAATATAAAAACTCATCCGAAAATTACGTATAATCATACCAATTTTTGGGGGAAATTTTGCGCTCAATTCGCGCTAACGCGCTGCAATATTTGTTCATGTTTCAAGCTATAATCCTTGACGGGAGCATAAATCAAGCGTTTGATCTCTGAATAATCTCTCTCTGTGTGTGTGTATTTTAAATTGTGCGTCTTTCATCCACGATCCGCTCATCCGCTCATCCGCAGAACAGAATGAGAGAGATGCGAATAGTGTGCAAGTTGAACTGCCGAAGAGGATGAGAGAGTAGTGGTTGAGTTAGATGATCCGCTTGCTTTGTTCGTACAAAAGGTACAAGTCTAGGACTGATAAAAAAGAGAACAACCTGAAATTCACTTTTTACTTGGTGGTTTTGTGTGTTTCGGCTGCAGCAGAGACATTCAAATGCATTTGAAATTTGAAAAAAAAAACCACGAACCTGAATTGTGAGCTTTCTGAATTGCTTAGCCTTTTTTCCGTTGGTTTTTTTTCTCTCGCAATCGGTGATTTTCTAGTTTGCTGATTTCTGTGGAATGGCAAATTTGGTTGGTATATAATTTCGACTGGATTGCTGTTTATTTTCTTGAACATACACCGAAATGCTATAATTACCCTGCGCTCAATTATCTTCGTAAATAGAGAGCCAATCAATCGATATTGGTTTTTATAGTCGTTTCGAAATTTTTCGTTTCGATTGTTAGCCGGATTTGTGGCACAATTTCGTTTGCCGTTTGATTCATTCGTTGTAAACATAAACAGTGTTCAAAGTTTGATTTGCCATTTCTTTTTGGAAGTAGAGCGCCAATTTTCGAACCGAACGAAGGCTAAAAAGATAAGAAACATTATCAATGTAACTCGAATCAAATGTATAATGAACAACAACGGTGGCCCGACTTAATGACGCTGTGCCATCGAAAACCAACACACTTCCTGTATGATCTAACGAGATTTTATATTGGGCTAACTAAAAAATCGTGCCAACCAATCATTCGGATCGTGATTCATCGTGATTCATTAGTAAATAAAAAAAAACACCTCATCAATTTGCACCAATCGCTAACGGTTTGATATGAGTCAAATCATTGAACGGAAATATAATTCGGTGAATGAAGAGAATTCGGTCTGATTTCGAATCTATCGATAGTGTGACTACTAAATCTGAACTTTGATGAGAGCAAACTGATGGCACTGCGTTATTCGGAATTGAAAGTTTCGAATTCGCAACGAACGGATTTGCTTGAGGCACAACTCTGAAGGATATGTTCTCACTCAATTTGCGTATGCATCTGATGAGATGGAACTTTTGATCGCAACACGTTCGCCTATTCAGAACTATTCCAAAGTTGAGTTCACATTGAAAAAGAGGAAAAAAAAGTCGAAAGCTTGTAGAAGAGTAAGAAAGAAAAGTAAGTGTAAGAAAAGCAACTGAATTCAAGTTATAAGGTGTCAATGTGCAGGAGTATAGAACATTCTCACCTTTGAACAATCTTCTTCGTCGAAATGAACTTCATAAATGCAAAGCAAAAGTGAGAGCAATCAAATTGATTTCATCTGCGGCGGTTTCGTTTGAATTTCTTGCATTCATTCAAATCGATAGGTTTGGTTTTGATTGTGGTTTTCATTTGTCAATGGTTCGGTTGTCGTTCTGTCGTTTCGACTTCGATTCATCGTATCGGATTGCATTTTACGTGCCAATGTCAATTCTTCTGGCTGGATCTATTCCTTGAGTTCGGTTTGTATTTTCCATTTGGTGATGTTGTAATGCAATCGATTCGGTTGAGTATCAAATTTCGCGTATAAATCATTGAAGCTGGCTATCTGCCTTGCTCTCTGTCTCTCTCAATAAAAAAATATATCGTGCAATCGATAGAAACCATGTTGGCAGAGTGAATCTTAGCTTCTTTACACACTTCGTTTCTTTTATTTCTCGACGCTTTACACACATTTGCGTTAATCGCAAGTGATTGAATCTTGATTCCGAAATGTTTCGATATCAAAATGCCGAATTCATTGAAAATGGTATGTGTGCACATTTTTGGTGCATTACGTGTGTTTATTTTGGTCATTTGTCAAAGAGACAACTATTTCCCTTTGCCGAAAAAAAAAAAAAAAGCGGGCGATAGGAAACGAAAAGCCAATAAATGTCCAATTCGGTCGATAATCGATATTTCAGTACTATTCAGTGGACAAGTCATCGAAAAGGCAATCGCAATAGTTTTTCGTCGATGATTATCTATGACGGATCATTGATATCTAAACCGCAATAAATATGTGCTGATAGAAATCGAGAAGATCAAGTGTGTTTTGTCTCTTTGACTTGGCGTTTAACTCCGAAGGTAACAAATCTCTCTCTCTCTCTCTCTCTCTCTCGCCCTCTCTTGTCTTTCTACGACTGAACCGATTTTTTGCGGTTTTTTTTTCTGACGTACCTGTTGTGTTATTTATTTGTTTGCTTTTCTCAATTCATTTGTGTCGCACTTGGTATCATAATGACATCGTCTTGATTGGCGTTGTTGCATTATGGAATTCAGTCACACTACTTTTTTTCGTGTCATTTTTAATGTTCAACGATAGCATTTTACCTGGGCTGACCGAGATGGTGGTGCTTTTGTATGTTGCGAAGGTAGTTTGTGTATTTGTCACAAGGCGTATTGATCCTTTATTGATGCAACCGTCTCTCTGCACAAGATCCGAACCAATTCCAATGGATAGAATGAGTTTGACTCATTCGATGGTATTGCTGCTTCGAAATCAGGCAGCATATTATTCTTGTGTGTTCTATTTATGTTTATCTTGTTCATTATTAAAACCACAAGCTCAAGTTACATCAATGACGTGGACACTGTTTTGATGATTACGTTCATTTTTGAACAATGCAGTGAACGAGAGAGAGAGAGAGAGAGAGAGAGAGATGGAGATCAAGTTTGCCCTTGCTTTTGCAAGCAAATGCATAGAAAGAGAAGAAGAAGAGGGCCAACAAAACGGGAATGAATCGATTCGATTTCGAAAATTAATTGACTAGCTCTCTTAAGTTAGTAATTTATATTACGAACATAAAAGTGAGTTTATTGTCGACAAACGACAGACATGAGAGCGACATGAGACACAAAGGTGTGCGCGCACATGCAGTCCGACGCACAACTCTATAAACGC